TAAAAGGGTGTCATAAGGAGGAGGGAGAAAACTTGTTCATCTTGGCTCTAAGGATAGAACAAGAAGCAATGGGCTTAAACTGCAGCAAGAGAGGTTTAGGTTGGACATTAGGAAAAAGTTCCTAACTGTCAGGGTGGTCAAACACTGGAATAAATTGCCCCGGGAGGTTGTGGAATCTCCATATCTGGAGATATTTAAGAGTAGGTTAGATAAATGTCTGTCAGGGATGGTCTAGACATTATTTGGTCCTGCCATGAGGGCAGGGGACTGGACTCAATGACCTCTCGAGGTCCCTTCCAGTCCTAGTATTCTATGATTCTATGTGAACACACACATTTGGAAGCGAGGTGATTGGCTTTAGATCTTGAAATCCTTGTATACCTGCCCCCTTACACTCCAGGGCGCATGGAAAAGAAAGGTTGAGGATATCTAAGGAGACCTGGGCTGAAGTGCAACCTCAGCGTACAAATGGGGTGCTTAGTTATTTAACACGTCACTTTATCTTCCCCACCTATTAGTTATCCCTGTTACAATAGCACTTCACTCACAGTGGAGTGGTACATGTAGGAAAAATGCAGTGAGAGGTAATTATTCACACTGAGGTTGCCCCTAAGATCCAAGTTGGGACCAAGGCCCCATTGTACTGAGTGCTGTATAAATACCTGAGCAGACACAGTCCTGCAGGCTCAAGAGTGCACTTTGCTTTATTCGGTGTGGTCCTTCACGTATTTGTTACTTGCCTATGTGTGGCAAAGCAGCCCTAGCAGTACTAGCAATACTAGTGAAGATTTACAATCTCATCTGCCCTGGGGATGGAGGAGAGGAGTTTCCTGTCAACATGCACTCATCACCGACCTGCAGATACATGGAGGGAAGGCAAGCATGCAGCTGTGATGCTCAGTGCGGGGACCAAGTCTAGCAGTGGCGATGATGCCAAGTGAGCATCATTGACACCATGGAAAGAGACAAAAGCCTATATCACTAATGATAGGACATGTACAGGCAGTCCCCGGGTTACGTACAAGATAGGGACTGTAGGTTTGTTCTTAAGTTGAATTTGTATGTAAGTCGGAACTGGTACGTATTGTAGGGGAAACTCTAGCCAAACATTTCTCCAGAGCTCAGTTTTATTCTCCCACACCTCACTTCCCTCAGTCCTTTATTCTCAAACTGAGGTGTCTGCTGAGAAAAGCCGCTCCGCGTCTCCCTGGTCTGCTGGGGGGAAGCAGCTAGTGCAGGGTTGCCTCACCCCGTTTGTAAGTAGGGATGCGATGTAAGTCGGATCCATGTAACCTGGGGACTGCCTGTACTAATATCGAAGAGTTGCTAGTAGCCTTCTCCTGGCCAGGTCCAATGGCTTATAAACCCATTATTATTTTCTTTGACATCTCCGCTGCTTTCAGTACCACTGAACACACATTCTGTTCTGCCTTGCTCATCTAATTCTCCCACCGTTTTGTCTGTATCTTCTTTCATACCTCCTCCTACCTCTGAACTTCTCCTCCCCCCCCCCCCCCCCCCCCTGGTCCAGTAAGCCATTGCCGTCTCTTTATCCAAACCTCTTCTAAAGATTCACTACTTTCTTCTTGCCCACAAAAAGTAAGGTCAATGATTTTAAGCTATTACACTATCCTTATTATAATTTCCTTTGACCTTACCATTGTGTCCTGTCAATTCTGTATCTCTTGTTTAGATTGTAAAACCTTGAAAGGGTGGATCTGTCTTTATTTTATCTTCTTCAGTGCCAGCACGTTGTCAGCTCCTGCCAACAACGAATACCTGGAAATTGAATTAACCTAGAACAATGGAACCTTGAACAGTATTATTACAGTATCTAAAACCATGTATCTGCTATACCTACTGAAATGGCTCCATAGTACAGTCTTTTAAAACCATTTTTGTGCTTCTGTGAAGTATAGAATTATGAGCATTGAAAGTAATGCAAAGATATTTCAAATTTAATTCCCTGAAGCCTTAATGACTCTACCTTTTGGTAGTGAATGAAATCCCAGCTTGTTTAGCTCTTCTAGGTCATGGAACAATCTTGTAGCTCATTCATATTTGGAATTCTAGTCCCTACTAGGAAGACTTTCAGTATTGTGAGCATGAATCCCTGATGCCCCATGCCTTGTAGAAACATGAGCACCAGTTCAAAGAGGGACCATGAAATGCTACTGTTCCATTCAGGCATCAGCCTCCCTTCTGCACAGGTGTTGGTGATTGCACAAGCTGTAGGACAGAGCTACTCAACAAGCGGCCTGTTTGTTTGTGGCCTACGGTGTGGTTTTGGTTTACGGTCTGTTTGTGGGATCCTTTGAATATGGCCTCTACTGGGAGTCAATATAATGGTCTTCTGTTGATAGGTGTTTTAGTAGTTAAATTCCTGGTTTGTCATTGCTCATTAAAAGTACTGTCATATGGGTAGAAATCGTGTCAATATTGCATTTTATTAATATCAGCAGAACCAACTTAAATGGGGTCTGCGTGTTGTGTAGTCTTGCCTTAATCTTTGTATTCATGCCTGTCAGTATGAAAGAAACTATTTGCATATATAGTTGCATATATATGCAACCACACTTAAGTTGCGGCCGTCAGCATGTGCTGTGAGTATCATTGTGGCCTCCAGGGCTTCCAAAGTTGAGTAACCCTGGTGTAGGGCAACAAGGAATCAGACCCTTATGCCTGGAAAATGCACTATACATCCAAATCTTATACACAATGCTTCTAGTTATTAAGTCAAATTAAAAACAACAACAACCTTATGTTGTATTACAAGCCTATTTTTATTTCCTGCAGGCTAAAATGGACCCAGAGAGCAGTTTCAATGAGGACAACCTTATCTTTACTGTTTTTGATCTGTTTGGTGCTGCCACTGAAACAACCACTGTAACCCTGTGCTGGGCACTGCTGTACATGCTTCTGTATCCTGATGTGCAAAGTAAGTGATGCAGGTCAGAGGGGTCGGGGCTTCCTCTCGACCCTGCACTTCCCATTGACAAGTTTCCAGTATTTTTCTGTTTATAGATGTTTTCATCTTTTGGAAGGGGCCTCCTGGAGTACAATAGCATTTGTTATTGGACTGGACTACAGTAATTGAGGGAGGGATGTGTGTAATTCTGCACAGCTGTGCTTAGAGGGAAAGCAAAAACTCATGAGGATAGGGAAAGCACCTGTTAAAGATCTTACTCAGTAGATGCATAGAAAACCGCTGCTATGGTCACCACGGTTCCTGGTGGTAAGCGCACCTTCTGGCCCCAACAACTCCTTGCTAAGTTTTCTCTCAGGCCGTGTCCAGACTCAGGGGTGCTCCTTGCTAAGTTTTCTCTGAGAGCTGGCTGCAAAAGCTCTAGCCAAGATTTCTGTAAGTGACTAGTGATTTGGGGCTCCTCAGATTGTGGGTGCTCCATTTGAGATCCCTTAAAAAGGCTGATTTTCAGAGGGTGGCTACAAAGCACTTTTTGGAAATCGGGCCCCTTTAAGCTATGTCAAAATGGACACTCTCACCCATAAGCACTAGTCACTTTTGAAAATGTCAGACCCTTTCACCTCTGCTCTCAATTAACATTTGCTTCTATTGCATAGCCAGGCTGCCACTCCTGAATACCAGTGCTTAGAGATTCTGTGGGTGGGTGAGATTACACAATGCCTGCATTGTGCAGGGGGTCAGACTAGATGATCATAATGGTCCCTTCTGACCTTAAAGATCTATATCGATATCGGTATCTCTGTGAAGTTAGATCAGACTTGTTGTGAGGCATCTGGGATCACTTATCAGATGACTCACAACAAGCCTGATCTAACTTCATAGAGATATAGATATATGAAAAGAAGCCTTTTCCCAGCTCTTTACGCAATTTCTTCTTGAAACAACTATTTCAAGGTTCCACTCAATTTAGTCCTAATACTGCGTAAGATTTAATTGAAAATGTTAAGCATACACCAAACACTAAGGACACATCTACACAGTAGGGCAAAAGTCGATTGTGCTGCTGAAGTTGAAATGCTTAATTCAGTTTTTGGTGCTATCTACACAGCAGGAAGCCGAAGGAAGAACACTCTTCATTTGACTTCCCTTACTCCTCATGAAATGAAGGTAACAGGAGCCAGAGTAAGAAGTCCTCCAGCTCAACGTTATTTTGAAATAACAACTTGCTGTGTAGACGCACTCTTTGTTATTTCGGAATATCAGTTATTCCAAAATAACGCTGCTGTGTAGACGTACCCTAAGTGACCCCACCATATAATTAAGATTGACCGCTGAAGAGAAGAAATTATACCAAAAACTAGCCCTGGGCCACTTTACAAGGGGGGATTTAAAAAATGAACAAAACCATCAAAAAGACACTGAAGTCAGAAGTGAGGATGGGGCAGGGTTGTTCAAGTCCAAGGTTTCTGTGAAAAATAAAATGGAAATCCAGCCCAAGTGATGTCACTAGAAAGGAATGTAAAGAGGTAAAATATAACGTGGGCATTAGGAGAGGTAAGAGGAAATGTAAAGAATACATAACCAAAGATGATATTTCAGTATATCAGAAGCAGGATGACTGGGACAATTAGTTGGTCCACAGAACTACCAGGGAAGAAAGGGAATAACCAGGGAAGATAAGGACATTAACAACAAATTAAATTATTGTTTTATATCAGTCATTATTACAACAGAGACCATCTGGGGAGATATCTACCCTTGCTCTATATTTTCAGGTAGTGAGCACAAGGCCAGAGATAGAATTACCAAAAGAAAAGGTCCTAGAATAAATGGATACATTTAAATGCCACCAAGACCAGGTGGCTTACCTCCAAGAGATTCAAAGGACTTTAAGAATTAAGTGGCTGAGCTGCTAACAAAATTATGCTGTCACAAGATCAAATACCGCACCAGAGGAATGGGAGGTAGTAAATATTGTAACTATGAAGACTCTAAAGCTGGTCTGGAGAAATTCAGACCCATGAACCTTCCTTCAGTACCAGGCAAATTGGTTGATACAATAAACAGAGGTAGCCGCAAAACACCTCAAATAACTGACACACTTGTACCACTTCTCATTGGTGCAACAACAGGAAAACAAAATGGAGGGAGTCCAGGCAGGATAATTTTGATGAACATAAAGAAGACAAAGTGATGGGAGAGGGGTTTGCTAGGGAGCTAAGGCTGGCCAAAGACAAAGTATTGTCCCTTCCTGCATAGCTCGTTTTATCACATTTTTTATCAACAAAACTTTCACACAATATCCTTGGTCTCCCTCACATTTGTTCCTTCCCCTTTTCCATTTCCTTCATGCTGTCATCTCTGTGACAGGTTGAACCCTCCTTTCAGGGGGCCACTTGATGTACTGTGTTCCCACTGAACCTACCTGTTCCACTAGCTTGGGCTCCCTCACCCTGTCCTGCTGGGCCTGCCTCTCAAGCTGTCCTATAGCACACACACACACAGGTAGGGATAGACCCAGCTGTAGAATCACACAGAGTCTGCAAACAGTTCTGTGTGGGAAAATTCAGGTCAGGGATTGCCCAGCACTCAAATACACACACCCTGTAGAGTGTAAACCCAACATTATATTGTCTTGCATTATACAGAGATCTAGATAATGTACGCTCATGAAATTTGACCCCTCCTTCAATGTGGAGAAAGATATGCACAGCTTTTTACCTTTCCTAGTTATGAATTGCACAAACTGGGTTTTAGTATAAACCGTAAACAAGTTTAAGTACAAAAGGTAAATTTTAAGCAAATATATGGGATACCAAACAGAACAAAATAGATCTCTGAGCAAAATAAACAAACAGGCAACTACTTAATTCACTAAATAAACTGGTTACCAATAGTAATTTCTCCACTGAGCTGTTATTTTAAGCAGGTTGGAGAGTTTCTGAAGCTTATAGTTCCAGGTATTTCTCTTCACAGGCTGGACGCCAGAATCAGGTTGGGACTTAGGTCTTTTCAGTCTTAGGTGTTTACAGCAGTCATTCTGGGCAGGGATTCAATGAAGAACTGGTGACCAGGATTACTCACTCTCTGGTCTTAAATAGGATTGACATAAATGGTGGGAATCTTTTGTTTCCCTGTTTGATCATCCCCCTTCCCCACACTTTCAGTGGAAAAAGTCCTGGCACTGTCCAAGGTGGAATTGCATACCTGATGACATTACCACATGACCTTGCAATGTTAAAGCAACCATAAGGCAAAGCTCATTTTTAATGTCCACAAGTAGGGTTGACAGGTGTCTGGTATTCACCCGGACAGTCCGGTGTTTTCGCCTCCTGTCCGGTACAAAAAATTCAGAGACTATTGGACACCTGAGATGTCTGGTATTTTCTGATTTTTTTCCCCGGACAGGAGGTGAAAATGCCGGACACCTGGCAACCCTACAAACACTCAGCACCCAGCCTCCCCTACCACTCCCCTGAGCCCCCTCCTGGCTCCCAACACCCCTAGGCCCCTGGCCACAGCCCCCATGCTTACCTGGTTCCGCAAGGCTGCCGGCACAAAATGGCTGCCAACCAAGGGGAAGTAATGACTCCCCTGGGTCTTAGTGCTCAACCGCTCCCCTGTTCCTATCCCTGCCCTCACTCTTCAAGAAGACATGCTGTTTTATTTTATTTTTGCTTAAGTCTTGGAGTCCTTTTTTTTTCTTCTCAACAACCTTGGTCTCCCCGCCACCTTTTTTTTTTCCTTCAACAGAATTTTTTCCCCAGTGTGGTTGTTTTTTTGTTTTTTGTTTTTTTTTTTTTTTTTTTGTTTCAACCATCTGGCAATCCTATCCACAGGAAGGACCACCAGGTTAATGAGAGATCAGCATCTTCAAAGCCCCAGTGTCTTCCCTTATGGCCCAGCCCAGGTGATTGTTTACTCACTTTAGACATTTTTTTGACATTGTGCAATTATTTTTGCCTCTCATCCCATCTGCCTTCCTCTTCTTTCCTAAGTTGTATTCCCTTCCTCCTTCCCTCAAGTGGTCAATCTCATGTCTTCCTGCAGCCCCCACCAAACCCCTCACGTCATCCTTCCTCAGCCACAGGCACTTTCCTCTCCCAAACCTCTCTCTCACCCCTCCTCCCTCCAAAGTTCATTGCCTGGCTCAGCTGCTTTCCACTTCCAACACTCCCCCACACACACCATAAACACCAATCAGAGCAAACCAAGTCACACACACTCCCCCCGCTCATGCAGTCTGGCTCTTGGCCTAATTACTCCATTCACACACATACCTCCATGCAGGCTGCTTTATTTCACTCCATAGACACCTACATAGCAGCTTAATTTGGTAAAGCTAATCACTCATAGGGGTGGATTTTTCATACCCCTGACCTATATTGTTACACTGAAATAGGGTATGTCTACACTACAAAGTTAGTTCAAACTAACGGATGTTAGTTCGAACTAACTTTCATAGGCGCTACACTAGCGCTCCGTTAGTTCGAATTTAATTCGAACTAGCGGAGCGCTTAGTTCGAACTAGGTAATCCTCATTTTACGAGGATTAAGCCTAGTTCGAACTAGCTAGTTCGAATTAAGGGGTGTGTAGCCCCTTAATTCGAACTAGTGGGAGGCTAGCCCTCCCCAGGTTTCCCTGGTGGCTACTCTGGCCAACACCAGGGACGCTCGTCTGCCCCCCTCCCGGCCCCGGACCCCTTAAAGGGGCACGGGCTGGCTACGGTGCCCGTGCCAGGTGCAAGCCTGCCAGCACCCA